GCGTCTATGGAGCCATCAATACACATAGATAGAGTGTTTCTTAGAGGACCTTCAAACAGGTCTGTGCTGAGAGGATTTGCGGGCCATGTCGCCCACAGGATATTGCTTGGCGAAGTATATATTTGGTTTTCTTTAATTGCATTATTTTTATTTTTGCTTACAAGATACATGAGACAGTTAATGTATAATATTTTGTTTTGGCTTCTTACAGGAGCGTCTGATGCTAAAGGTCGTTTCTCATGGTTTGAAGTTGAAGAACTTCCCTGAGATTTTGATGCATGAGAAGGTCAGGAGTATCATTAGAGATTTTCATCTCCTTGATTTTGTTGAGTTCTCCTTGACCATGCTAGACACCTTCCTATTATTTTCTTTTGTTGAGAGGTGGCACCCAGCGACATCATCTTTTCATCTTCCATTTGGGGAGATGACTATCACAATAGATGATGTCTCCCAGTTGTTTCACATTCCGGTTGCTGGTACATTCTTTACACCGATAGTTTTATAATGGTTTAGCTAGGTTGGCTGACGTATCCCATGGAGGGCCTATGTAGATTTGTTTTATTATGGTTGTATTACATGTATATTTTGTGATGCACATACATCTTATTTATTGCATAATCTTTTGGCGATTACATGATTCGAAGATGAATATAACATAACATAGTACAACAAACATAAATAAATAACAAACATAAATAGTACAACTAAACAGGAAAACCTAGACACTGCCAGATTACTCTGGCCGTTTGAGCGTCTTCATTATGTCGTTGACAGATCTTCGAATCTCCACATCCAACTCGATCGGACCTTTAGTTCTCCTATGGTGAAATGTTTTCTACATAGCCTTCACATCTACATCGGCCTTCAACACAATCAACTTGTATTTCACCCAACCATTAGTATTAATATAATGGTCCCAAAGTTCAATCTTTGTCACCCTTCTGTTATCAGAAATAGGTAGTAAACCGTTCAATATTTCTTTCAAAGTGTCAAGGGATTCGGAGCCATCAGGAATCTTGAATTCAACGGCAAGTTTGCATTCGTTGTAATTCACGTCTGCAATAAGGAACGGGAGCAAAGACGGTACCGTTGCGGGCAGGTTTACTGATAGAGCGCAAACTCAGGCCAGAGCTGATGAGGGACAGGCATCCAAGCTACCGGTTGACCGATGTCCTCCGAATGGTTCTCACCAGAAACGGTTGGCGGAGCAAAAGGCTCAGTTATTCGCACCCCGCCATCGAGGACTTAGAGTTGCCACTGCTGAAGAGCCAGCTAAGGAGCCAGTTGCGAAACATATTGTGAAGCCAGTTGTTGCATAGGTACATGCTTTTGTTCTTGTTGTTGAGTCGGCAACTGCGAAGATTATTGAGGAGGTACATGTGCTTGTGCCTGTTTTGGAGCCGGAGGTTGAGTAGGTTATGGAGCAGGAGGTTGTGGCTGAGCGCGTAGGCAATGTAACCCCCACTTATATGGACACCACGACCCATGCGTCTACTGAGCCATCAAGACACACAAATAGAGAATTTCATGGAGGACCTTCAGACAGGTTCGTGCTTACAGGATTTGCTGACCATGTCGCCAACAGGATATTGCTTGGCGAGGTATATATTTGGTTTTCTTTAATTGTACAATTTTTATTTTTGCTTACAAGATACTTGAGAGAGTTGATGTATAATATTTTGTTTTGGCTTCTTAAAGAAGCGTCCATTGCTGAAGGTTGTTTCTCATGGGTCAAGGACTTCCCTGAGAGTCTGATGCCTGAGGAGGTCAGTAGTATCGTTAGAGATTTTTATCTCCTTGATTTTGTTGAGTGATCATTGACCATGCTGGACACCTCCCTATTATCTACTTTTATTGAGAGGTGGCACCCAGAGACATCATCTTTTCATCTTCCATTTGGGGAGATGACTGTCACATTAGATGATGTCGACCAGTTGTTTCACATTCTTGTTGCTGGTACATTCTTCACACCAGTAGTTCTATACTGGTTTAGCTATGTTGGCCGACGTAGCTCGTGGAGGGCCTATGTAGATTTATTTTACTATGATTGTATTACATGTATATTTTGTGACTCACAGACATCTTATTTATTGCATAATCTTTTGGCGATTACATGATTCGATGATGAACATAACATACTACAACAAACATAAACAAATAAAAAACATAAATAGTTCAACAAACATAAATAGTACAACTAAACATTAAAACCTAGGCACTGTCGGATGACTCTGGACGATTCAGCGTCTTCATTATGTCATCGACAGATCTTCGAATCTCCGCATCCAACTCGATCGGACCTTTAGTTATCCTACGGCGAAATGTTTTCCACATGGCCTTCACATCTTCATCGGTTTTCAACTCAATCAACTTGTATTTCACCCGAACATTTGTATTAATATAATGGTCCCTAAACTCGATCTTTGTCACCCTTCTGTTATCAGAATCAGGCAGCAAACTGTTCAACGTTTCTTTCAAGGTGGCAAGGGATTCAGAGCCATATGGAATCTTGAATTCAACGACATGGTTGCATCCGTTGTAATACACTTCTGCAGTGAAGACCAGGGGCAAAGACGGTACCGTTGCGAGCAAGCAGACTTATAGAGCGGAAGCTCAGGCCAGAGCTGGGGAGGGACAAGAATTCGAGCTATGGGCTAGCCGACATCCTCCGATCGGTTCTCACAAAAAACGGTTGGCGGAGCAGCAAGCTCGGCTTTATGCACCCCGCCTTCAAGGACTTAGAGTTTCCACTGTTGAGCAGCCAGTTGTGGAGCATATTGTGGAGCCAGCTGCTGCGGAGGTACATGCTTTTGTTCTTGTTGTTGAGCCGACAGCTGCAGAGGTTATTGAGGAGGTACATGTGCATGTGCCTGTTGAGGAGTCGGAGGTTGAGTAGGTTGTGGAGCAAGAGGTTATGGATAAGCGCATAGACGACGTGACCCCCACTAATACGGGCACCACGACCCGTGCGTCTACGGAGCCATCAGTACACACAGATAGATCATTTCTTAGAGGACCTTCAGACAAGTCCGTGCTGAGAGGATTTGCTGACTATGTCGCCCATAGGATATTGCTTGGCGAGGTATATATTTGGTTATCTTTAATTGCATAATTTTTATTTTTGCTCACAAGATACTTGAGAGAGTTGATGTATAATATTTTTTTTTGGCTTCTTACAGGAGCTTTTGGTGCTAAAGGTCATTTTTCATGGTTCAAAGTTGAAGAACTTTCCTTAGATTCGGATGTCTGAGGAGGTCAGGAGTATCGTTAGAGATTTTCATCTTCTTGATTTTGTTGAGTGTTCCTTGACCATGTTGGACACCTCTCTGTTATCTGCTTTTGTTGAGTGGTGGCACCCAAAGACATCATCTTTTCATCTTCTATTTGGGGAGATGACTGTCACTTTAGATGATGTCGCCCAGTTGTTTCACATTCTGGTTGCTGGTACGTTCTTCACACCAGTAGTTTATACTAGTTTAGCTAGGTTGGTTGACGTAGCCCGTGAAGGGCCTGTGTAGATTTGTTTTATTATGGTTGTATTACATGTATATTTTGTGACGCACAGACATCTTATTTATTGCATAATCTTTTGGCAATTACGTGATTCGATGATGAACATAACATAGTAAAACAAACATAAATAAATAACAAACATAAATAGTTTAACAAACATAAATAGTACAACTAAACAGGAAAACCTAGACATTGTCGGATGACTCTGGATGTTTCAGCGTCTTCATTATATCACCGACATATCTTTGAATCTCGGCATCCAACTCGATCATACCTTTAGTTATCCTATGGCAAAATGTTTTCCACATGGCCTTCACATCTTCATCGGTCTTCAACTCAATCAACTTGTATTTCACCCAACCATTTGTATCAATATAATGGTCCTGAAACTCGATATTTATCACCCTTTTGTTATCATAACCAGACAGCAAACCATTCAACGTTTCTTTCAAGGTGGCAAGGGATTCGAAGCCATCTAGAATCTTGAATTCAACGGCAGGGTGTACCGAAAATTTGTATTGTACCGAAAATTTTATCCCTTCTATCAAAAAATTTGTCCAAAAATTTATTTATATCACATCAAAGACAAACCTAAAATAAATAAAATAATTGGGGATGACATGTTAATTTCTCCACTTTTAAAATACATGTGATTTTGGTATGTAAGATTGATTGACTTTTCAAAAAATAAACTACGATTTGTTCGAACATTATAGAGGAATCTTGATGATTTCCTTCAAAGTCGGCAATGTGCAATTATGCATTCATCCGGGAAATCGCAATATCACGTGTTCATCTCATATTTGAGAAGTCGCATGCATGGCTGGGATAATTTTAGAGAACGTGAAAGAAAAAGCAAAAAAAAAAAAGAATAAGTTATACAACGTGAACTAGAATGGTGATGAACTTGTATCTTAACACAGCAAGTCACTGTTTTTTCTTATAATTGAGATTCCAAACAAAACTTGCAACAGCTACCATTATGGCCAAGAACAAAAACCATAATTCGACTCATTACGCATTATCCCTTTCCTAAAATATAATAGAAAATAAATAGAGAAAATGATATAAAAAAAGCATTCAGTAGTTATTCTTTTATTCAAGGCAAGCAATTCAGCAGGGGCTGCTAGGAGAAAATTACAGAAGAACAGAACATGATGGTTACACCTTAAGTTCTCTAATCATTGCATTTTGTCAACATACTGGGTGTATATTCCAATTAGCTATCTGGAGTTAAACTAATGGAAAAGAAGTGGCCAATTGGTGGAATTATTTTAAACCATTTAAACCAATTGAATATTTGAATTGGTCCTTCATCATGGCTAGGTCTTTCAAACATGTTATAAATACTATGTCTTTCATTCAGCTTTTCACAGTAATCACTGATACCAATACCTCTTCTTTCTTTCTATATTTTCCTCTTCTTCTAAGAACATTTGTGAGGATATCTAAAAACATAAGAATTGGAAAGTTTATCCTTTCCACTCATGACAGTTATGGCCAGTAGCCCTAGAAGGGGTCATAACTGGCCCCAAATGACAATGGCATTGGCCATTGTTTTGATTTCTACTACTGTGACTTCTGCTGCTGCAGATAGTTATATTTACTCTTCACCTCCACCACCTTATGAGTACAAGTCACCACCACCACCTTCACCATCACCACCACCACCTTATGTGTACAAGTCACCACCTCCTCCACCATATGAGCATAAGGCACCGTCTTATGTGTATAAATCACCACCTCCACCATCTTCATCACCACCACCTCCCTATGTATACAAGTCACCACCTCCATCATCCCCATCACCACCACCTCCTTATGTATACAAGTCACCACCTCCACCACCATATGAACACAAGGCTTCATCATATGTGTACAAGTCACCACCTCCTCCATCTCCATCACCACCACCTCCTTATGTGTATAAGTCACCACCGCCACCTTCATCTTCACCACCCCTGCCTTATATTTATAAATCACCACCTCCTCCACCATATGAGCACAAGGCTCCATCTTATGTCTACAAATCACCACCTCCTCCATCTCCATCACCACCACCTCCCTATGTATATAAGTCACCACCTCCACCATCCCCATCACCACCACCTCCTTATGTATACAAGTCACCACCTCCACCACCACATGAACACAAGACCCCACCATATGTGTACAAGTCATCACCTCCTCCATCTCCATCACCACCACCACCACCACCATACTATTACAAGAGTCCTCCACCACCCTCTCTCTCACCTCCACCTCCTTACTACTACAAATCTCCTCCACCACCTTCTCCCTCATCTCCACCTCCTTACTACTACAAATCTCCTCCACCACCCTCACCTTCACCTCCTCCACCATACTATTACAAGTCTCCACCACCACCATCTCCCTCACCACCCCCTCCATATTACTACAAATCTCCCCCACCACCCTCACCCTCCCCTCCCCCACCATACTATTACAAGTCTCCTCCACCACCATATATACACAAGGATCCACCATACTATTACAAGTCCCCACCACCACCTTCACCATCTCCTCCACCTTACTACTATAAATCTCCCCCACCACCTTCACCATCTCCACCATCACCGTACTACTACAAATCTCCTCCCCCTCCATCTCCTATTCCTTATACATCATACTACTACAAGTCTCCTCCACCACCCAAGGTCCTTCCACCACCATACTATTATAACTCTCCTCCTCCACCTTTTGTATATCCTTATCCGCATCCCTACCACCACTCATTGATTGTGAAGGTAGTCGGTAAAGTCTACAGCTTCAGGTGCTATGACCGGGAGTATCCAGAAAAATCTCATGACAAGAAACATCTCAAAGGTATATTACTAGACTAAACTTTAAAGTAACGAGTTTAGAGTATTCATAAATATTTCTGTTAAAATTTACGTTTAATTTTTATTAATACAACCTTACTACACTTATAATCATTAATATTTTGAAGAAAAAAAATATTACTTAGAACTAGCTGATGTCTGTCATTAATAAAAAACAATCAATTTGTAAAATAAAGATATATAATCTACTTATTATTATGATTTAATAATCTGGTATCATATTAAAATTAATTTTGACAAGTATTGTATAACATGCTGCTCTTTTAATAATATTGTTCTATATAATAAGTTTTTTCATATTTTATTTAAACTAATTTTGTTTTGGGGCAGGTGCTGTTGTTGAGGTGACATGCAAAGCTGGGGCTAAAATCATTAAGGCTTATGGTAAAACTAAGATCAATGGAAAATACAGCATCACAGTTAAAGACTTTGACTTTGTCAAATATGGTGAAACAGTGTGCAAGGCCACCCTATATGCTCCACCTAAAAACTCTCCATTTAACATACCTACTAAACTAAACAAAAGAACCAATTTGTACCTGAAATCCAAGGACAAGTATGAGGTTGTGCTCAAGGCTAAGCCATTTGCTTATGTTTCAAAGAAACATTTTAAAGAATGTGAGAAACCCAAGCCTTCACCAACTCCTTACTATTACAAATCACCTTCACCTCCTTCACCGGTTTACAAGTACAAGTTACCTCCTCCCCCAGTCCACTATTCCTCACCAGTTTACAAGTACAACTCATCACCTCCACCGGTTTACAAGTACAAGTCGCCTCCTCCTCCAATCCATTATCCCTCACCAGTTTACAAGTACAACTCACCACCTCCACCGGTTTACAAGTACAAGTCTCCTCCTCCCCCAGACTATTATCCCTCACCAGTTTACAAGTACAACTCACCACCTCCACCGATTTACAAGTACAACTCACCACCTCCACCAGTTTACAAGTACAACTCACCTCTTCCCCCAGTTCATTATCCCTCACCAATTTACAAGTATAACTCACCACCTCCACCGGTTTACAAGTACAATTCACCACCTCCACCAGTGTACAAGTACAAGTCGCCTCGTTCCTCAGTCCATTATCCCTCACCGGTTTACAAGTACAACTCACCACCTCCACCGATTTACAAGTACAACTCACCACCTTCACAAGTTTACAAGTACAAGTCGCCTCCTCCTCCGGTCCATTATTATTCTCCTCCATATTACTACAAGTCACCTCCACCTACCACACCGGTTTACAACTACAACTCACCACCTCCACCAGTCCATCATGACTCTCCCCCATATTACTACAAGTCATCTCCACCACCTTCACCAGTATACTCATCACCTCCACTTGTCCAATATTATTCTCCTCCGTATTACTACAAGTTACCTCCACCTCCCTCACCGGTTTACAAATACAACTCACCACATCCATCGGTCCATTATGATTCTCCCTCGTATTACTACAAGTCACCTTCACCTCCCTCACCAGTTTACAAGTACAACTCACCACCTCCACCAGTCCATTATTATTCTCCTCCTTACTACTATAAGTCACCTCCTCCTCCTGTAAAATCACCACCACATCCATACTACTATAAGTCCCCACCACCACCATTACCATCTCCACCACCACCATACTATTATAAGTCACCTCCACCTAAGGAGATTTCAAAACCACCATACTATTATAAGTCATCACCCCTACCATCACATCCCCCTCCTCCACCGTACTATTATAAGTCTCCATCTCCACCATCACAATCCCCACCCCCTCCATACTATTACAAATCTACTCCACCACCATCATCACCATCACCACCTCCCTACTATTACAAATCACCTCCACCGTCATCACCATCTCCTCCCCCTTCATACTATTACAATTCTCCACCACCTCCATCACCATCTCTACCCCCTCCCTACTATTACAAGTCACCTCCACCACCCTCAGCATCACCGCCACCTCCTTACTATTACAAATCTCTCCCACCACCATCTTCATCACCACCACCTCCTTATCATTATCAAAGTCCGTCTCCACCATCTCCCATTTCTCGTCCTCCCTACTATTATAAATCTCCTCCACCACCATCACCATCTCCTTACCATTATGTGAGTCCTCCCCCACCTGTAAAGTCACCTCCACCACCGGCTTATATCTATGCTTCACCACCGCCACCTATCTACAATTAGTTTTAGAACGCCAAAACACTAAACACAATAAATTATGTAAGTTTATCATCGTTTCAATCATAACATTTACATCTTAACCCACCCACACACTTAAATATCACATGTTTAAATCTTATGTGAATTAACCAATTTTTTTTCAGGTTTTAGTTTTCATAAAGGAATAAAGGCAAGCTCTATTTGAAGAAAAGTGAAACATGTAGCTTCCTATCCAAATTATTTGAATAAAAGTCTGAATATACCATAGTTGAGAAACGATATTCGTGATCTAGATGAAATTGAGTTTATATATTTGATGGCCATCCTTGTACTTCCTAATCTTAATGTGTTCAAGTGACTTACAAATCAAAAAGTGGACGCATGATTAATGTTTTTGATAAATTTTATTATTATTGATTATTCTTTGTATTGTACCTTGTTGTGTTTGGAAAAATAAGTATTATTAATGAAGAGTTACACTCAATCTCTTTCCATCTAATTAGTTATTGTTTCTTTTGTACAACTATCAATCATGTTAGCAACACAAAGCACACCACCATATCATATCACCAAAATATGCATCCTTATTCATTGCATATGAGATAGAAAATAAGCAAACTATATCTAACTATTAAGAGTGTATCATAGTTTAAATACAAAAAATAAAAACTTAAAATGGAAAAATTGTTGATTCAAAGTGCAAATGTAACCTGGCACTGTGTTGGAGAAACACGCGGAGGAGAGGGCGTTCAACTTGACGGTGACGTAGCGGCAGAAGAATGTGTGGATTTCACTGGAAAATGGGATGTGCAATGCGAGTTCTGCTGCGACTCATCAACTTGGTTATGGCTCGCTCCATTTCAGATCACTGAATTGCGACTCATCGACTTGGTAATTGTTGTTCAAGCATCATCATTATAAGAGATCTCATGTGATTAACACCTAACTTCGTAAGGATATTAGCACAAGATTTTTTTTCCTAAGAATATGGTGAATGGAGATGTCACAATCATTAACCACATAGTTTCATATTAGCTCCAAGATGATATGTTTTATTGGCCACTAGCTGGACGACATGAATGGAGTTTGAAAAACACATGATTTGCTTGATGCCAACATCCCAATAGACAGTAGTTCATGTTAGCAGATCTCGAATCTTTGCATGTAAAATGTTTGACATGTCCACACTATCATGATGATTAAATTGGAATTGATCTGCGAAGTTGCGATCCATGCCACCATAGCCTGCTTGTCTCGAATATGTTAATGTGTTACCATCAACATCTAGAACATGTGTATCACTATCATCATATTTCCAACACACTTGTCTTGAAATCCATCGAGAGAAATAGATAGGGGAGAGAGAAAATTGAGTTATCAAACATTCATACGTAATGGTGAAAAAACTAAAGTAATTGTGGAAGTAATTGATGTCTGTGTTCCTTCTGTGACAAGTTTATTCATTGTATAGTACATGTTCCACATAATCAAATGAATTATGTTACTTACCTCGATAATTATATTTTATATAGAATTTAAGATTTTCACATTATCTGTTAGTGCACAAGAATCAATGATAAATAAAGAATAAATTTAAGAAAGTAAAGAGAATAACGATTGTAAAAGCTGCAAGAGTAATAAATGTTGTTGTTGTATTTATAACGTTTACAACTAGTCTATTTATACACAAAAGAGAATGTCACATAGGCCCTAATAGAATAGACTTAATAACTAAGTTATATAAAACAATTAGAAATACTAAAATACCCTTTAATATCATCCCTTAATTTAGACTTTCTAATTAAAATTAACTACATCAATTACATCCCTTACGCGAAGAAATTGATCTGTCTTGATTGCCTTTGTCATGATATCTATCAGTTGCTTCTGGGTGTTACAGTGCATAATTTCTAGTACTATGTTCTGGACTTGGCTTCTGAGAAAATGATACTTTGTCTCAATGTGTTTGCTTCTCTCAAGTAGTATCAGGTTCTTGGTAAGATTGATTGCAGACTTGTTATCAATCATCAGCTTCAGAGGCTTATCTACATTAATCTTCAGATCCTGGAGTTAATTCAGAAGCCACACATCTTGACATGCAGCTATAGCACCTGCAATGTACTCAGCTTCACACGTTGATAGAGCAACAATGAATTGCTTCTTGGAACACCAAGAAATAGGACCTCCCAAAAACTTAAGCAAGTATCCATAAGTACTTCTTCTATTAACTTTATCTCCACACCAATCAGAATTAGAGTAACTCATCAACTCTGAGTCTGTCTTTCTTCTAGAAAGGAATAGTACTCCAAACTTCAAAGTTCCCTTGATATACCTCAGAATCTTGACAGCAGCTTGATAATGGGACCACTTAGATTTACTCATGAACCTACTAATTATTCCAACTACATAGCAAATGGCAGGTCTGGTAATACACAAATACCTTAGAGAATCAACCAATTGTTTGAAGGTTGTAGCATCCATATCTTCACCATCTGAGTCATGATATAATTTATGATTGGTTTGTAATGGTGTAACAGCAGCCTTACAATTCTCCAGCTTGAATTTCTTCAGAAGCTCAAGTTCATACTTCAGCTGATACAAAATTATACCTTGTTCAGAGTATAATACCTCCATTCCTAAAAAGTAAATCGGCTTTCATAGGTCAGTCACCTCAACTCTTTCATTAGAGTCTTCTTGAACTTGATAACTTCTTCATAATAGCTTTCCGGCGGAAATATGTCATTAACATAAAGACATACCAGAACATACACACCGTACTCCATCTCACACTTCTGAAAACCTTATTTCTTGAAAAATAAATCAATCTTCAAATTCCAAGCTTTGGGCGCTTGCTTCAATCCATACAGAGCTTTATATAATTTGTACACCATTCCTTCCTGATTCTTTTTCACAAATCCAGGAGGTTGTGACATGTATACCTCTTCTTTGTAATAGAGTGTTCATAAATGCAGACTTCACATCCAGATACATTGGAGGCCAATTTCTATTTGTAGCTAAAGCAATCACCAGTCTGATTATTTCATGTCTAGCTACATACGCAAATACCTCAAAGTAATCTAACTCAGGTTTTTGAAGAAAACCTCTAGCCACTAGCCTTGCTTTGTGCTTGCCAATTAATCCATCTGACTTAAGCTTCACCTTGAAAACCCATATGACGTTGATGGCTTTCTTCTTATCTGGAAGCTTAGTCAACTTCCAAGTTTTGTTTCTTTCTATAGCCTCAAGTTCTTATTTCATGGCATTCGGTCATACTTTCTTCTTAAGAGCTTCTTCAACACTTACATGTTCAGAGTGTACTAACATGGTACACAGAATAATTTCTCCTTCTGAATTTACTTCAGTGTTTTGCAACATGTCAAACTCTTCAAACCTTCTTGGTATTCGTATGATTCTTTATGGCCTCTGAACTTGTTCAGAAACTCTTTTTGATTATGGAACAATGGCAGATACTTGACCACCTTTAGAAGTTGGATCGCCTTCAGAACCTCTATCTTCTGAAGTTCCTCCTTCAGAATCACGAACTTCACTAGAAACATGATCATCTTTAGAAGCTTGTCCTCCAGAACCTACGTCTCCAGAATTTTCCCTTCCAGAAGTATGACCACCACCAGATTCTGGATCATCATCAAAATCTGAATCAAAATCAGATTCACCATCTGACTCATCTTCAGAGTTTCTAGAATCATCATCTAACTCTGACTCTTCTTCAGAACTGTTAAGTTATGGCTTATCTTCATAAATAGATTGAGACTTGCTCCAATCTCATACTTCTTATTCTTTTACAATTACGTCTCTATTGACTTCAGCTTTATTCATTTCTGGACAATAAAGCTTGTATGCACATGTACTGTGGCACCCCACCAGAATTATTATTTTGCTTCTGTCATCCAACTTCTTCCTTCTAGCTTCTGGAACATGTTGGTAACATACAGAACCAAAGATCTTCAGATGGCTAACACTTTTCTTGTCTCCAATCCATTTTTCTAAAGGAACAATTTCCTTTAGCTTCTTTGTTGGATACCTATTTAGCATATACGTAGAAGTAGCTACAGCTTCTCCCCACAAGTTATGAGGTAGCTTCTTCTCTTTCATCATGTTTATGGTCATATCAAGCAAAGTATGATTTCTTCTTCCAGTAAGACCATTATGTTGAGGAGTATAAGGAATAGTAACCTCATTCTCAATTACATTCTCATCATACAACTCTGGAATTGTGTAGAGTTATACTCACCTCCATCATCCGTTTTGAGAATCTTCAGCTTCTGACCACTTTGTTTCTCAACCTTTACCTTGAACTTCTGAAACTCAGTAAACACCTCATGTTTAAACTTGATGAGTGTTACCCACGTAATTCTTGTGAGCTCATCCACAAAAGACACCAAATATATATTCCCTCCAAGTGAAGGTTTTGGAAATGGTCCACACATGTCAGAGTGCACTACTCCCAAAGCATGTTTTTCTCTTGGAGCTACTTATGACACAAATGGAAATCTAGGTTGCTTGCCTTTCATGCATACCTCACATAACTTCTCAGGATTCACAATCTCCAGAATTCCACGTACGAGCTTCTTAGAACTCAAATGCCCTAAGCTTATGTAGTTCAGATGTCCCAACCTCTTGTGCCACAGCTTACTATCAGCTTCAGCAGCTTCTGAACTAAGACATTTTTCTTATGTTATCTCCATATTCACCTTGAATGTATTTTTGCTTCCTTGTTCTGATTGCATAATCAGCTTCTGATTAGCATCATACAACTTCAAGAGATTATCCTTCATAATAATTGAGAAACATTTCTCAATGAGCTGACTCACACTCATCAGATTGCTCTTAATTCTAGGAACATACCAAACATCCTTGATCAGAATGGTCTTCCCATTCTTCACTTTAACTTTTATATTTCCCATACCTTCTGAGTTAAGGTACTTATCATTAGCACATTTGATTTTTGTCCTCCTTTTGGAGTCAAAATCTATCAGTCATTATTTGTTTCCAGTGAAGTAATTTGAATAGTCAGTGTCCATATACCACCAGTCTGCCAAACACTTTTCGTCAGACTCAAAAGTCGTCAATAGCACAGGTTCATCATCGGAATCTCCTCTAGCTATATTTGTTTCTTCTGTCTCCTTCCCTTATTTGACCAACAATCTTTAGAAAAATGGTCAAACTGCTTACAACAATAACATTGAACCTTCTTCTTATCAAACTTCTCCTTATCCTTCTGAGGTTTCTTCTCATCAGAAGCAGAAGTTTCTGACTTCTGGAATCTATCACCACGTCTATTTTTGGTTTCTGACCAAGAATGCTTATGGTCTTTCTTGACAAAAGAAGCCTTTAGGTCCTGCTCAACTTTCCTCTCAGAAGTTCTTTCAGTCAGACACAACTCATGTGCCTCTAAATTGCTTTGCAACTCTTCTATTCTCATGTTTTCCATATTTTTAGAATATTCAATTGCTACAACAATGTAATTAAATTGAGGAATAAGTTACCTCAATATCTTCTCAATGATTACTTGTTCAGAAAGGGTTTCTCCACAAGCTTTCATCTCATTATTGATCAGAATTACTCTAGATATGTATTCAGAAACCTTCTCATTGTCCTTCATGTTGAGAATCTCATATTGCTTTTGCAGGAACTGAAGTTTTACCTTCTTCACTGATGAGTCACCATCATAGCATCTGACCAGTGTGTCCCATGCCTCCTTCTCCGTCGTTGAATCAGTAATCTTCTCAAACACATTCGCATCCATACGTTGATGGATGTAGAACAACGTCTTCTAATCTTTTTTCCTCTTGTCTCTCTGTTCATTTATCTCTTCTTTTTTCGCATCTACTACAACTAGAACATGGCTATTGGTAACAAGCTCAAGCGTATCTTGAGTATCAAATAACACGTGCATCTGAATCATCCATTTGTTCCAGTTCTTGCCAACAAAAACAGGAAGTTTGGTACTCAGGATACCGTTTCTATTCATCCTTAACCTTGTACAACTCACTCAGATCTCACAAGCACAATGTAACTCAACCCCACAGAATCAGAAAAAATGTGATTCTGTTCAGATTTTATTCAAGATCCAACACGAACCCAGAACCAAAATCAATCACACAAATTCCTCACATTTCACTTGTGCTTCCCTGTGTTTCCCTGTGGATCAGAACCGGAGCTCTAGATAACAATTGTTAGTGCACAAGAATCACTGATGAACAAAGAATAAATTTAAGAGAGCAAAGATAATGACGGTTGTAAAAGCTACAAGAGGAATAAATGTTATTATTGTATTTATGACATTTACAACTAGTCTATTTATACACAAAAGAGAATGTCACATAGACCCTAATAGAATAGACTTAATAACTAAATTATCTAAAACAATTAGAAATGCTAAAATACTCTTTAATACTATTAACTTTAAAAAGCCTCGTAGGTATATTCTAAAAAATCACACTCACACCAAATGGAAATAGTTTTCACATTCACTAACCAACTTTTACTCTACTTCCTAAGTATACAGTGCTCACTTAAACCATATCAAAACCAAGTTTGATCCTAAGTATGGTTGCACACTTGATCACACAATTCTCAATCATATATCACCTTAATTATAAGTTAGTTTTTATGATGAATAGATAGGTCTAAGAGTAACTTATTCAAATGAGGTTCAAGCCCTTAATCACTTCATTAAAGTCCATGATCATTACCTAACTCAAAATAGGGTCTAGAACATGAAAAGTAAAGGTTGTAAGTAAAACATGACTTTTGAATTGATTCAGTCAGTGTCTTGAAACGATAGCTACCAACAGAGTTGGTGTCTCCTTATTCAAGACACTTTTAAATCAATTCAAAAGACTCATGATCCGATTCAAACCTACAAAAATCTTTTTTAATCCGATTCAAACATTTTTGGGTCAATTAAAACACTTCTTGAATCGATTAAACAACCTATAATTTATGAAGATCAACATTTCTTCACTTGGAGTTTGAGAAGTTATTCCTCCCTTTCTTCTTTCCAAGTGTTTAAGCTTTCTTTAAGGGAAGAAGACTTATTTTTTATTTTACATATAAGCATTTCTCAAACTAAGATCATTTTGCCATTCATATTGTTTAAGACATAATTACCCTTATTCCTAAAATTTGGTTTAAATACTTAATAAAATTCTTAAACCCAAATAATTTAAAACATCATTTTATAGAGTTTCTCACCATATAGCATGAATTTACTCTAACTCCATAATCATCACAAACATTTCATCGTCCTTAACCATAAACGGTTGTCACTTATTATATTTTTAATAAGTAAATATTTTTTAAAATATATGTATCAAAAGTAAAATAAATCGTGAAATTAAGAGTGTTTAAAATCGAAATAATTCAATAGAAAATCGTAAATTGAACCAAATCAAATTGAAATTGTAAAAAATTGTATTTGATTCGAATGTGTTTGGGTCATCTTTAAGGAAACTGCACAGTTCAGTGCAGTTTGTATTTTGCAAACCGAATCAAACAAATCAAACAGTATTATATTACAACCTAAATTTTACTTAACTCACATCCAACCTAAACTTAAACCTATTATACTTTACCTTTATAATTATGAACAATTTTCTCATCTTTATACTTAGGGTTTCAGTTCTAGTCTTCTCAAATCTCATAAAATTATCGCACATTCTTCGCCAAATACATCTTGTCTCTTCTTCTCTAATCTCTACTATTTTATATTCTTTATTTTTCACTTTCTCATTATTATGCAAACGTTTTCTCTTTCAATTTTGTTTTTATCACACATCTTCACTAATATCTCCTCTCTTAAATTCTTTCTTTTTCATTTCCATTAATCTCTCATTTTTTATATTGTCATCTATATGTGTATGTATGACTTAATAAAATATTTATAAAAGATCGAACCAACCGAATCGAATCAAACCGCATTGATTTGATTTAATTTTCTTCGTTTTTTTTCTTCTAAAAACCAACTGAACAAATCAAATCACACATTTTTTTCTCTTACGATTCGAATGACTTTTATCATCAAAACCGTTCAAACCACATCGCATACACCCCTACGTGATTCTATCTAACGATTTTTATTCATTAGATCAAAGGATTTTAAAAATAGATCGTATATTTTCTTTTAGAAATGGACTTGTTTTTGAAAATAGACAAAATAACGAAAATTTTACAAAGTACCTTAAATTATTTATTATTTGTTGAAGCAATTAATCATCACTATCACACACCCAAAACCAATTGAACATTTTCAACTATCTTCCTCAACAGATAAAAACCAGAGCCATTTCAAAACCCCAAAATGCAGCAAAACAACAACAAAAACCCATCAATCTCACTCCACAACACTCACGTCAAGCTCCTCGCCTTCGACCTCCTAACCCTAACCCCACCCTCCTCCCCCGACCAACCCTTCACCCGCAAATCCATCCCCATCACCCGCCTCGAAACCCTAGGAACCATCACCCTCCGCGATCACAAACCCTCTAAATTCCTCCGTTTCTCCATCGACGATGGAACTGGTTGCATCCCTTGTATCCTCTGGCTTAACCACTTGACTTCCCCTCACATCGCTCGCCGCCGTAGTCCGCAGGATGTTTGTCTGCTCGCCGACGCTGCTGCGAGATCTGCGGAGGTTGTGAAGGTCGGGGCTGTTGCTAGGGTTAGGGGGAGGGTTACGGTTTTTAAGGGGAGTGTGCAGGTTACTGTGACGGATGTTGTTGGTGAAAGGGATCCTAATGCGGAGGTTTTGCATTGGGTTGATTGTGTTAATTTGGCTCGTAACTGTTATAATCTTGTTACTCTTTCTTCTTAGGATTCTCTACCACCTTAAACAACACCGAAACATCGTTGTTGTTGTTGTTCTTCATTTTTTGTGTTTGTGTTTTAAGTGATGCAATACGTTTTTATGATAGAAATTTATTTTTCTTTCTAATTTTCATATTAATTAGCAGGTTGGTTTAATTGATAAGATTTTAATTTAAATCTCACAAGAATACAAGATTTCAAGTTTGATGGAACTTGGAGGGTGGATCATATGTAAGGATTATGCGAACTTGACGACATTTTATTATTTTTGTATGTGATTGTTCGCATATTTTCTATAGATTCTCTAAAAATTTAAAATTTTTTTTTTTAAGATTACACATACATTTAATTATAATATTTTAAAATATTAAATTATATTTATAATTTATAATTTTATTTAACGAAATATATGATTGTCATTGGTTCACGTTTAAAAATAATTTAGACAGTGTATTATCCTTTTCTCTTTTTTAAAGGGTGTTTAAACGATGAAATCAAATAAAAAATAAAGTGTAATGAATATATTTGAAAAATAATATTAAAAATTATTTTTCAGATACACTCGTATAATTTCTAAAAAGTGAGATCAAATAAATAAAGAACAACGTATATTTAATTTATGAAGAATTCATTCGATGTAATGAGACCCCTTTTAGTAAAATATCGGAATTCAACTTATGTGACTTTTCAAATAAAAAAAAACATTTTGGTAAATTCAACTTTGTGAATTTTCAAATAAATAAAAAAACATTTTTTAAAGGGCTAAAAGCCCACAAAAAAAAGCCTAAAATTTAATGAAGATGGTTCATTATTACATGGCATTTAACCTGTCACCCTTACGACTAATATTGGCACCCTCCTCTAATGATGATGTTATGACTTTTATATCCTTAATTTGAAATTTGCTTTTGCGTTTTACCTAAATTTTTAAGAAAATACTGGATTTTTTCAAAAAATTCAGTAGTTTATTTTCAAAAAAAAAATTTATATTATCGAAAATTTTGAAATTTCTAATAAATTATTAGAAATTTTGAATTTTTTTATAGTACAATTTTTTTTTAATTCATACTGAAAATTTGATATGTTATAAGAAATTTTATTATTTGTCATCCTTTATGGATAATTTAGAAATTAAAAAAAAAAAAGGAGGTGTCAGGTATAATTTGGAATTTGAAAGTGACAAATAAAATCTTCTTCATTACACCACATGTTTTACTTATACATTTCAAGGATAATTAAAATATATATATATATATATATATATATATATATATATATATATATATATATATATATATATATATATATATATATATATATATATATATATATATATATATATATATATATATATATATATATATATATATTTAGAATTTAAATTTTTAAATCTGGATGTATTAAATGCATAACAAGCTCTCACTAAAAGACGTCGAAACAAAATTTAAAGAAATTGGATTTTGAAATCTAAATTAATAAATTACGGAGATTGAAATTCGGACGCGCTTCAATAGGTTATAATTATGATACATTAAGTTACATGCAATAGATATGTCATATTTGTTTTATCCTAATTTGCTTTGGTTTGAAAGTTTGAACTTTTGGAATTAGGGTTTGTAAGCTTTGCTTCTGCTTACTCATTATAGTTTCGTCCAATCTGAATTTTATAATCGGAATCCTTAGTCCGAATAACAAAATTCAGATTTATTTGTTGTGTGTTATGTTTTTTGATTCAGTTTTCCAATACCTTCTTTGATTATGATTTTTTTTCTTCTTTTTTTACTCTAGAAAAATGGCTGACAACCAACAAAGAATGAAACATGGTGGACTGACCCAATATGCTCCCGTTTGCAGGGAGAAAGATAGCCTTTCGCAACCCGTAATTTGAGAAACTTCATTTGATGTTGAAGTATTATTTTCCCGAGTTCATCTGTCTTTAGCGTTGTCTTCCCAAATTCATGTGTCTCTAGTTAATTATGAAGCCCATTGTTGCTTTCGGGCCCGGTAATTTTCCTTAAGCCCCCTCAGACCTTTCACTACTACCTTTGTATACACCCTATACTGATAGGCACATGCGGGATGGAGAGGTAGCATAAATATTTAATTACTCTTTTAAACATCAGCGTTATTTTTTGCAGTACCAGAATATGTTGAAATGTATTAACCTTGTCGAAGCTTGATGAACCATGGTTTCAGAATGTCTTGCAACTATCTGAGATGAAGGATTTATGCATGACTCGATATGATTATATTAACCATGATTTATTGTTTGCATTTGTTGAGCGATGTCACATAGATATCTCATCATTTCATTTTGCAATCGGTGAGATGACCATCACACTTAATGATGTATATCATGTCGTCTACATCTTTCTGATCATAGGAAGATATTAAATTACACTAGAATCAGTAGACCTGATGCACTGGATAGAATGGTGACATATTTAGAAGTTGACCCATGTAAATCCCTGCAGGAGATAGATGACACCAGACGTGTCATGCGAGATTTTTATTCCTTATAAAGTTGTATTAAGACCACCTAGCTACATATGTGTATGTTGTCGGTGATGGTACACTTGTTGCATATCATAAAGCATGTGCGTTAAGGTCAACTTCATGGTTTTGGTCAGCACATACATACTTAAGGACAAAAATGCGGCCTATCTCGATGTTGTCTACATTAAATATTTATTTGACTTGGAGATGATTCATGAGTACAACTGGGAGACAACTTTTCTAATTTACCTCTACTCCAAAGTTAGTTGAAGCTAGTTTCTGGAAGACAAGACATATGATAACAAACAATTATTTAAACATAATAGTCTCTTTTTTTTTTGCGCTCTTACCATTATTAATTACATAACACTTGTTTTAGTCCCTTATTGATATTTCATATGAACCACTTTTAGGCATAGATCCGCCAATAATTTTCAGTCTCTCTGACATGGGAATATGTTTAAGAATACTCTAAGTATGTTCCACGTGTTTGCTTGATCATTCCTCTCAGGAAGAATCCAATGACCAAGTTGCTTCAAATTTCTCTTAACTACATAGTGTCAAATGATATCTATTTTACGTTGTACGGTGAGCATTGTGATACACGACCCTTGAAAGTGATATCATTGTACTCTTTGTGGTTGGTTGTGGGTCTCGACTTATGTACCTGCATCTACTTGAGCGAGTACTGCAACAATTCAGGTATCTACAGGATATACCAAAAGACCCCGTAGTTAATGCTCCTGCCATTGTCTTATGCAGATATGTTTATGAGAAGCTTGTGGAGTACCATAAGCATTTGGTCTCAAATGATATACGTCGTGTGTCAGCTCCTCGTCTATGAAGTGTGGTATATGATTATATCCAATAATTTTATAGAGTTCCACATCCTTATATGACATCAGATATAGAAGTAGATCCTCTGAGTTCAACTCATCAAAAGATACTAAAAGAGGAACAGTCGATGGCAACCATGTCGTGGATGTGTTATGATCATAATGAGGCTATTGGAAGAGGGGTCATAGCTAGATGAGAGTTTGAGGAAGACACTTTTCAGATGGTCACTTTATAGGTCATCTTAGAGAAGGCAGTACATGAAGATTTATCCTAATTAAAAAAACATAGAAACATACACAAACAATGTGTAGGGTTTATCCGAAAATTAAGATTCAAGTTTTAATAGGTAGATCCGGAGATTGAATTCCATACATATTTTTGACAAAATGAGATACCTTTGTATAAAATATTTTTTTAGTAAAATAGATAAATTTGAATTTCAATCTCCAAATATAACAAAAACATTTTTCAAATTTTCATGTGGTGCGTAAAGTGTACTAAATAACACCCAATTTGATTGTAAGCCCCAAGTGAATTTTGAATTTTATGGCTGAGCATGATTTCAGCTTTGAGTTTCAGATGTCAATCTATATATGAATAAAATTATGGACATTTGATTAAAAAATAATATCTTTTCTTGCTTTTCACATTCGATTAATGGTAAAAAAAATTGTAATAAAGAGGATCGAAGCTCAAAGGGAACAATGACTACATCGGGATCAACCTAGGAAAATAAACACCTAGATGATCATCCTTTAATAAAGCAATAATAAAATTAGGGGCACCAGTATAACTAATATAATTGTCTTGTAACTTGCAGCCTTCATTTCTTAACACATCCGCACACTTACTTGCTTCTTGAAAAACGTCGCTAACTAACATTCCCATGCAACCCAATTAACCTAGTTACTTGCCTTAACAGAGGATGTCCTTCAAAACTATCTGACGCACCTTTAATAATAACATCAACCACCACTAAAGAATCGACATTTAGCTTCATTTTCCTTCTGGATCGTATACTTTAGACCTTCAAACACACCCCAAAACTCTGCAATAAAAGCATAACAAGAACATGTATTTTTGGCCAAACCACCTAACCAATCTCCATTGGAATCTCGAGCAATACCTCCACAACCCGAAGTCGACACATCTTTGCACACACCATCGGTGTTGAGTTTTACGTAGTTACTTTGAGGAGATTTCCAACTAATCATAGCCAAATTCCTATCCACCTTAGTGATAACTGTTTGTTGACTCATTGCTTCAGCATAATCCTTTAATATAATTGAGATGTGTTGAGCCCCGTTTCTAGGACGAAAGAAATCTTCTTCATGATATTCTTTATTCCTCCAAGTCCAAAGGCTATGGAAAGCCATTGCCCAGAACTCACTCCATTTACTAGCTACCTTGTCATTAGATCCAAGATTGAGGTTGACCCAGTCTTGTAATCTCACCTGCAAAAAATTGTTAGTTATACCCGAAAGAATATTATTGGACCAGATTTGTATGGCATAAGGGCAATCCCTAAACACATGAAGAGTTGTTTCCACCTCCTCCCCACAAGTTTGACAAGCATCTCCATAAATTTCCATTCTACTTTTACGATAGTTTGTTAGCACTCTATCATGGATCAGCATCCATGTAAAACAACGGATACGCCCAGGAACCTTCAGCTTCCAAATATTCTTCCATAAAATTTCCATATCGTTTTCATTACCCATCACATAGAGACTTGTAAATTTCTTTGACTAAGAATTTCCCCGCAAAGGTTCCAAGAGTAACAAATTCATCTTCACCATAACAATCATTTAGAAGCAGGTGGGCTCTGATCAAACAATGGACGTCACTTGACAGTCATCCTTAAAACAGACTAATATTCCACTCTCCATTTAAATCTACCATGTCACATAGTTTAGCACCCAACAAATTCGAAGGAATCGAAACATTTAATTCTTCCAACAATGACAACTTCATACAAACAAAAGAGGCTTGTCCACCATACTCTATGCTCCAACCAATTTTGAACGTCTACAATAAAATAAAACAATGGACAAACTCTATCTATATTTATCTCTTATCTGTCTATTTCTCTCAATCTAAACCTATAGAAAATCTAATCCTTTGCTCTCCTATTTTATTTTGATTTAATCAAATAATGACTTTATTAACAATCGTTTGCATACATGTCAAAACATAAAAGAAATTAGCAAGACGTGTGGACACCTAAACTATTTGGTGACTACAGTGAAAGAGTTAAAAGTTAGAATTATAAGGATGATTTCTAACTTACAAAATTGTTAATCCCTCCAATTTTCACACATCAAAAAAACTATTATAATAAATTATTACTTTTCAAAAATGATTATTTGTCTGTCTAGAATATTTTTAACTTTAATTTATTTAATTTTTTTCTTTATGATAAATGATCAAGATAATTTTGACAAAACAATCATCAACACCACTTTGAACTTTGAAAAAAAAAATGACACTTACAAATAGTTTCCTTTCTCAAACATAATATACGTACTATCTCCTTTTTTTCATGTTCTGCTATTCCTATTCCTCTTGTATTTTGAACTACTATAAGTTCTAGGTTTGTTGACATCATTTTATTAATGTAAGCCTAGTGAAATTAGACATAGTTGTTATTTTTTCAACAATTTTTTATTCAAAAATAAACTGAAATAATCATGCAATGACTTTTGTATTATATTATTTTACACATAATTAAAGTAATTTACATCTTAGTTTTCAATTGCTTTTAAAACGTCTATAAAGCAAAACAAATTTGAGTAATCAAAACATACAGAAATTTCCCTTCAATTATCATACACAACCATAAACTTAAACAAGTTTGAGTCCTTAAACTTCGGCACTCAAATTAGTAAAAGGCATAATAGTTTGCCCTCGCGAGATCACCAAAGAACTCAACCTGTTTCTCTTCATAGCAATGATTTTCTCTATAATCACCCTGGTCTCAAAGCTTTAAGGACTTCCAAAGTCAGTATAATTCACACACAGCTTTGGCATCTTGCATCCTGTGTAACATGGTGTGTGGCAAAAAAGGTATATGCTGAACGGAACGCCATATGTATTTGCCTCGGTGATTACTTGAGTCTAACCTGAAGAATTAGATGCACTTGCTTCTTGAAAATCGTCCTTAACTCTTCGTTAGCTTCTATTCCTATTCTCCTGTTAAACAAACATGAAATAAGCAAATGTTTACCGCTTCCAACACAATGATGTCAAAATAACTCTTCACTTATGGATGCAGGGAAGAGAAATGAGTCGAAATCAAATCACTACGCTACAATAATGTCATATCATAAGCAAGTGCATTGGGATAACAATCGCAAAATTTTGTAAAGGAAAAGCTGAAGAAAAAGGTACCCAATTTTTGAGCCATTCTTCCCTATGAGAATCTTGCGTTGGCTTAATTTGTTAGTAACAAAGTGTTGCTCAATCCTAATAGAGCCGTCTCGTAACTCTTTCCAGTCAACCAACCTATGTTCAATATCATATGGAATTTCCTGAATTGAGAAAATCATTAGCCAATAACACTATCATCTAATCCTACAACAAACTGTCACAAATTCTAGCTTTAAATTTGAAGAGCAAGTGAGTTCAAGACCTACCTGATGTACATGGTCCAACAACCTTTCACGCACAACTTCTAACGATATCATTTTCATAACTTCCTCGGTCATGGTAAACGGATCCTCTTCCCAGGGCCGTTCTACAGCCTATTGAAAAAGAAACAGTTAAAATTCCGACGTTACGTCTTGGAGTGGCTAACTAATAGATAGCAGAAGTAGAAAGATAGATGCCTGCTCCATCAAGAACTGAGTCAAATCTTTTACTCCAGCCCCCTTCATTCCCGATATCATGAAATGCCTAAATAATAAAATAAGCATTAGAAGCAATTTTAAGAATCAGAGTCAAACCACAAATTTTTTAAAATCACACTGCAGGCCAATGTCTCAATCTTCATAGAAAAGGAAAAAAACCTTACCTTTCAAATCCAGGAAGATCTTTGAATTCTTCAGCAACTTTCAATAGATCTTTCTTTTTCTCTACTAAATCAATCTTATTCATACACAAAACTCGCTTTTGATTTGGAATGGATCGTTCTCCCATGCGCTTAATTAGTCTTACAACTCTTGAATCAGGCCTATAACGATGGAATGTTCAAAAAAATAGGAATGCAATCACTAATAAGGAAAAAGAACAAAGAGACTATGACATCAAAAGAATGTACTCTAATGAGCAAAGAATGTGAAGACATAAATATGATCATAACAGATTGTATTCACACCACCGCTAGTTCAAGAAAGCAACAATCTATAAAAGTCTTCCATGGTTCAGACAACCAAAAGAGCGTTGCATATTGCTCGAGCCATTATATAGATGACTTTATAAACTTGAGTTTGAAGCACAAACAAAGACACATACAATGGACATGACATGCAGAAACCGGGATGTAAATTGAGAATCAAGATTACTAGTACTTCCAAGACGGGATGAAGACAATAACCATAACAAACAAATTAGGAGAGTGGAAATGGGAAACTGGAAAAGGGAACTGGGAAAGAAAGATGAAAACGGAAGAAGATAAAGGTGTGTGTATGCGTGAAGACGTGCATGTATGGAGGAACTTTTCAAACAAGTGTAGGTGTACAGCATATGTTGAACGCGTGGACACACCTAAACCTTCGAGTGTTTGTGCTCCATACTGCTTGTGTACAAATGACCCATCATCATACTTAGGATTATTATAGGAAGGAACCAAAAGAATTCCTCTGTTCAAATTCAAAAAAGTTGCCAAAAATTGCAATGCCCAACTATAAGTTAAGCCAACAAGATTTAATGAATCAATGAATGACTACGAGATAAGGTGAATAGTTTACAAAGGAGCAACAAAATATATATATAACATTCAAATCCAACTTTCTGCAGATTCAAATATCTTATATGTAACCATAAGTTAATTAGCGCAGCTCATCTTTAGCCATGTTTGCTTGGATAAACAATAGAGAAAAGTTGGGATGTTTTTATAGCAGATCTCTTGATAAAAATATTTATGATAAAGGAACAATAACCATTTGAAGTGATTACTCAAGCCAAATTATGCAACAACACAGCCACTTTTACTGGCTTTTTACCAGAATCAGGGTAAAAAAATTTAACAGGAGCTTCGTATTTGGAATTTTCGGAAAAAGGTTTAAAATATTAAGAAATATGTTGAAACACAAGTGTCAGATATTCCTCAATTTAAAAAAAATTAATAATCATTTACTTGGTAAGATGTCTATGAACATCAAACATGACTATGAGCACTTCATAGAGATTGACTGAACTCCAAGCACTTTCCACACGAGCCTTGACATCCCTATAAGGGAATCCACCACAATTTAGCATGAGCCCTGGTGTATCAAAAAAACACTGCATAGAGAAAATGATGAGTTCAAATATGTAACCACATAAAATGCATTGTTAAATTAAAACCCTATCATAAAACAACATGATGAACAGTGGCAGATCTACAGGGGTGCGAGCAGGAGCAGCTGCACCCCTCACTTTTTTTTTAATTTTTTTATTAACCTAAAAGTATTACGCTAACAGTAAAAAAAACCTAAAAAGCTAGTATTACGCTAACAGTAACACGCTACTCGTAATTTACAAAGTTCCAAAGTTTTTTGCACAGTTCTATACGTTACCTCTTTCGATTTCCAAAGTTACTTTCAGTAAAATAGAACAAAGTTTTTCCTCTTCTTCTTTTGCCAAAATTCACAAATCAAGTCAAGCTACACTTTACTTCTGCAGCGGTGACACGATGGTGTTGGCACTCTGCGACAACATTGTTTGTTCACAGGCGTCATTGTTTACTGCTTCGAGTTTGACAACAGCTTTTCGACAACAGTTTCGATGACAACTTCGATAACTTTGTTCACGGTTAGTGTTCTTATTTGTGTTGGGGTATTGGTGTAAAGTGTTATTCATTCATGAACAAATCTGTGCTGAGTTTTCCTGGTGTAAAATAGAACATTCTTTTACGGTTTTTTAAGTGTTAAAATAATGCTCTACAATTTCAACTTCAATTGGTTTTCTGATTTACTTTGACAATTTCAATACAAAATTCAACTTCATTTGATTTTCTGATTTACTTTCACAATTTCAATACCAAATTCAATTACAATTGGTATTCTTGCTCCCTGATTTACTTTCACAATTTCAATACCAAATTGGTTTTCTGTGTTGTGTTTTTTACCTATAATGAATGATATTTTGAAATGCTAAATTAAGTTTTAGTTTGATGTTATTAGATTTGATTAGATTTAAGTGTGATTGATTATTTGAAAAGTGTGATTGATAATTTGTGTATTTTTTAGGAGCTACATAATGATTAAACATAAGAAAATTGATGCATTTTTCAAAAGGAAAGTTTCCAATAAAGATGAAAATTGTATAGCTTACACTTGAGGAGCAAGTTGTCGGTGATCAAACAATATGATGAGTTCAAGTATTGACATTATGATGCTCTTTACCTTGAAAAAGAAATATATAGCTGAACACTTCACTGATAACAACATGATGCTTTACATTGAAAAAGAAATAGCTGAACAATTCACCACTGATTCAGTTTAGTCTTTAAAAAAGCGAAAGACGGTATTTTAGTTCGAGGTTGGATATCTCTTTTTATATATTTTATTTTAATTTTGTTGAAGTTATTATGAATATTTGAAAAAATTGTATCTAAATTTTATGATTTTTAGTCAATTTCAATTATAATATTTTAATTAATATTTGTTGCTCCCTCTAATATTTTAGTCAAGATCCGTCACTGACGATGAAACAACAAAATCATGGCTAAATAGTGAATCTCCAAAGGTTTTAGTAATTATAGTCCACAAATTAAACAGGGCTGAGCTGACAAAAGGAAAGATAACCAGCCAAGTTACTCACAATTTGGGTGTCTCCTTTGGTCAACACTCCCACAACTTCATGAGTAGTTGTGTTTGTCTTACGTGAAACAGCTGCCACCTTTGTTCCAACCTACGATGATAAATCATAAAAAGCATAAATCATGTTTGGAAACCATTTGACAAGATTTAATACAATGAAGAATAATATGAACCAAATGGTGATCGAAATTTAAACTAATATAAATAGAAATGCTCCTCACAAGTTACAAACAGGGAACAAGAAGCAGCAGAAACAGAAAATAGCAGAAATAGAGCATGATAAAAGTGAATGGAGCAAGCTCCTTACAAGGGGGAAAATAAAATCAAATAATAGATAGCTTCTCTGCATAGCCAAAACCGCTCAACAGAATTCCCGTATGCCCTTCAGGTCCCCCTCACTTTCTTATAACCACCTAATCACATTTCCTCTTAATGGGCCTGTCAATATTAATGGGCTTATCAAAGAATGCTCGAAGCTAAATTGTGAACGAATTCAGCTATGCATCAACGAATTGTGAATAAAACTAGTGTTGGTTCAAATTTTATTAATATAGTATAGTCTATATATTATATATAACTAAAAGTGCACACTCAATACAAGTTCATCCACATAATAACAACAATTTATATAATGCTTATGATCTCTGAGTCTAATGAAATCACACTGCCATCTATTTATAATAAACTGTATAGGATTTACAATAAAAGCTAATGAATTTGAAATTATAAATTAGCTCTACACTACAATCTCAACATAAATAAAAGGATTTAGGGTCAATTTGGATAAACGGTTCAACAGGCACTTGTAATAAAAGAAAAAATGTAATGATTTTGCAATAATACGAGTATTTTTAAGTAACAGTTTCCACACTAATCGAACTATGTTCCTAAGCTCTCGCGCATTAGGGGAGACTTACAAAGGGGGCATTAGGAAGAACTTATTTGGATATATTTGATGACAAATATGCACCAATAAAATTAACATAAAATATTGTATCAGAATAGCTTGCTTAAGTAAACCTCTTTAGGTATGTCTAGTTTATTTGCAGCTGATTTGAGCCTATCTTTGACACAGTCACAGACACTTCTTGGGAGAGCTAATAAAACACCTTATACATATCCATAAGCTGTTTTCAGCTTATTTCAGTTTAAATCCCAACTGTAGCTTGTAAATGAAAAACAGTTAAACACGTTCACTCTTTAATTATAAGCCTTTACTAAACTGATTACCCAAGTGCTATTTCCTTAAACAATTACTCCCTTTTGGATCAAACTTAAGTAAAAAAGTATTCATATTTAGTAGTATCAAATATAAGTGAAATTAACTATTTCTTTTAGGAGAAGGGGTCTAAGCACATAGAAAGAAACTGCACAGAAATAAATCTACAAGCAGAAAGTCCCAATACATAATCACCATACAAAATAAAACTCCCAATACATCATTGACCAAAGCATGCATGGCTAATCAAGGTCAGGGGCTGCTCATAAACAATGAGACAAAATTCCCGAAAACAACCAATATTTTGCTAGCAAGACTGTACACATGATATAATCAAGGTCAGGGGCTGGCTCATAAACAATCAAACAAAATTCCCGAGAACAACCAATATTTTGCTAGCAAGTCTGTACACATGATAGCTTCATGATAGATTTGACACACTTTAACCTCCCAATGGTGATACAGAAAACTTTGAATCCTCATCAAAAGTCTTCTCTCTTCCATAGTCCCCTACTCTATACCTTGAATCACCTTAGCTACCCCTTCTGAATTCACATTTAGTTTGTCAGCACGACATTTAGTTTAACTATTTTTTAACAATATTATTCCTAAAACACATCTTAGGTTTTTGTTTTGCAATGAAAAAACTTCTCATAAACGGAACATTAGAGAACTAAATTCCTTAATCAGCACAAAGTTAAACATTTTTGCTTAAAATCGAAGAGGTATTTCATTTGAGAAACTCTTATAATCAATCTAAAAACCAACAACAACAATCACAACCAAGCCTTATCCCACTAAGTGGAGTCGGCTACATGTATCAACTTCAGCCATAACATTCTATCCAGGACCATTCTTCTCACCAAATCATTAATCTCTATACTTTTCTTAATATCTTCTCTTATAGTTATTCTAGGCCTTCCTCTACCTCCACCTCTTTATCTCGTCTCCATCTGATCTACTCTCCTTACTTACTACAGAATCTACAGATCTTCTCTCTACATGCTCAAATCACCTAAGTTTATTTTCCACCATCTTTCTCAAATTATTATAAGTGTTAACATATATGTGTCAAAATGCTAGTGCTTCATAGGTTAAAACTTAACTAAACAAAACAACATAAAAGAAGACAACATCTAAAAACAAACCATATAATTAGTGAGTGCAGATTTTCCAGCATTAGGAGCCCCAATAATCCCAACCGACAAAGACTTCTGATCCTCATCCTTCACAACACCCAAACTCCCATCTTCATCTTCCTCCTCCTCCTCTTTCTCATTATTCAAAGCAGCCTCCAACAACGCCTTAGCTAGAATCATCTTTCTCCTCTCATCCTCCTCCTCCTTAAACTTAACTCTCCCCTTCGTCTCGTCGCCGAACAACAATTTATCTGTCCGGATTCTGAATTTGTCGTCCCACGTGGGTTTGGGTTTGGGCTTGGGGTTATTGGGGATTAGGATTTCGTAGTGGGAGCTGTCGAAGGTTGAGTCTGGTTGGTCTGAGAGATGGGAATCGGATTCGGGAGGGAGGGGTTCTGCGGAGAAGAAGGCGCGGAGTAGGGAAGTGGGGTTGGGTTTGGGTGAAGTGGTGAGAGTGGTTGTTGTTAGAATTCTGAAGCCTTTCATTGTTTGGTGTGGAAGAGGAATGGACCATGGGAGTTTTTGTTGCCTTTGGGGTTTAAGGGGTTAAGGGTTTGCAACCACTGCGTTTTGTTTTCTTACGAGAACGAAGAATTATAAATTTTTATTTTTTTATTTTTTTTTAGTTCATGCACTCGTAATTTTATTTATTTTTGGAGAGATACATCTTCAAACACAGTAAAAGTTATATTTTCACAATAAAATTTAGAGGTATATCTTCGAAATCTTAAATGAGTGTGTTCGGAGATGTGTCTCCGAACAAAACCTGCTTCTAGAACTCAAACAACATGAATGGAAACATGACAACATAATCAAAAACATATCAACATCAATATTAATATTTCATTAAATAAAAGCATTCATTACATAGATAGTCACGAAAATAAATTCAATATTACATAATCATTTCATCAGGACGTTGCAACATAATGATTGCATCTTCGACAGATATTTGAATCTTCGCATCCACTTTAATCAGGCATTTTGATTCATAACGGAAAAAAATACTCTACATAATCTTTAGATCTTCATCCGTCTTCAGTTCAAGGTTGGTGAAATAGATTATTTTTCGCTGTCAAATGAAGATGACTGATACTCGAGCTTGACAACTCTGCGATTTTCTAGAAAGCGCAGCTGATTATTTAGTTTGGATATCAGATTTGCGAGAGATGTTTTCACGGTGACCCTAAACGGAAGCAATGGTTTCTCGCCATTGAAATACACAAATGCAAGGTGACTTCCCGCTGGTCATTTTTGGATATGCATATTTGAATATATCACTGAATGGTAAAAAAGTTCTCATATAGCAGATGTAACTTCAGAAATGCAACTTCGAATGTAACACTAGAGGTGTATTCGGAGTTGCATCTTCGAACTAAATTTTTCCAAAAATGGTATTTGGTGCGTTCGAGATGTATCTCCAAATTCATCCAAGTGCATTTTCGGATTTTTAGAGTTGCGCTCTTATGAATTTTGTGTGGTGCCTTAGCGATGGATTGAATATATACTTGGATCATATAGTTTAAGAGCATGTATATTTTTGCATCTAATTCTTTGTGGTTGTTGTGGTTGGTGTTGTTGATCTTGAGTTAATTATTTTATATGCATTCGGTTATGGTTACAATTCAATATTGATAACTTTGGTGAAATTGTTTTATTATTTAATTCTCTTGGACTTGATATGACGTATTTATATTTGTCTGATTTTTAACTCTTGTTTAATTTATTTTTCACATGGAATCTGACCCTTACAACAATATTTTAGGTACTAATATGGAGTTTCATAGTAATTGATATTTGTCTGATATGTAATAGCGGGGAAGAACGATTTTTTTTTAAAACATTATGTAATAATAAACCAACCGCATTACATTTTCAAATTATTTATTGAGTATTTTCCCATTGAATTAGAAGTGCGATGATTTTCTGCTTAGCAATTTGAATTGAGGTTGAATAGATTAAATTTTTAAACCGTTTTATATCTGTTTAAACAAGTATTTTGATAATTTCTGAGTTATGTCTTGAATAAAAATTCAGGGCATTACATATACCAATCTCTAGACAATATTACATTCTAACTAGTCATGGACTATTAATTAAATAACATAATTACATGAAAATGTTATCTAAAACAATGTCATATATCTTGTTAGTTTCCTCGTCTTTCTTTTTGTCGTAGTATTCATCTTCTTATACATGAATTTAGTCATCCACCATATCTAAATCTTTAAAAAAAACTACAGATATATCATGTGGGTGTAATGTGAAATGTAATGCCCTTAATGCAATAGATTTGCTCATGAAAATAGTTGATCTCACAAAAAACAATAGATATTCCCTTAATGCGAAATGTATGTGAATGTGAGTATGTGTGAAACTTTTGCTCGTGAAAATGATCGATCCCACCAAAAATAAATTTGGATTGTAGAGTTTATTACTATGTCAAAACCCTTAACATGAGTTTAAATTATAGAATTTAGACTATGTTAGAAATCCATCAACATGTATTTGGATGATAAAATTCCAATTATGGCAAAAACTCTTTATGCACTTGTTGGAATTATAGAATCTAAACTATGTCAAACAAAATTATACCGAGGTAGGAATTATAGTATCTGAAATTTCATGTTATAGTATCATGGTTCATGCATTTCATAATAACACAAATAATAACCTAAAAATTATTCTAAAATAATAATTGAACTCAAAATATCCAAAATCATATATAATATTAAATGTCAAACTGAGTATGTTGTAATATTATACATAAAATACAATGGAGGATCTGAGTGGTTCGGTCCTTAGGGGGGCAAAATATGATTCAAATATTCAACATATCTATGATCAATCTTGGATGAATTGGTCATATCTTACATATATTTGAACTGATGTAATTCTCACTTAGGAAGATACCTGACCTTGCATGATTCATATATGATCCAACCACAAAAAAATAGATGTTACTCAACGAATGTATGACTTATTGAGAGGTGTATTTCTCGAACACCACATTCTGCAGTAGTATGTGATTTATGTGCTATCTATATAGCTCTGTAGTTTTATGTCCCTTCATCGAAATGAAGATGTTGGCATAAGACTCACTAATAAAGTGTTGATAAATTCATGTATGCAACAAATTATAACAATCTCTTAACAATATTATATTTCTAACTAGTTATGAATTATTAATTAAATACCATAAATATGAAAATGTTATATGAAACAATGTCATATATCTTGCTAGTTGCCTCGTCTTTCTTTTTTTCATATAATTCATCTTCTTATATAAGAAAACCAATATTGATGTCCTGTAGAGTTAGTCATCCACCATATCTAAATCTATAAAAAAAACTAGAAATATATCATGTGGGTGTATGTGACTCTTGCTCATGAAAATGGTCGATCCCATAAAAAATAATAGGTATGTTCTTATTGCGAAATGTATGTGCATATGAGTGTGTGTGTGTGACACTCTTGTTCGTGAAAATGGTCGATCCCACCAAAAATAATAGATATGGCCTTATTGTGAAATGTATGTGCATATGAGCCTGCATATTGTCTCATCGCCTCAGATTCACTCTATTCATTCCCTAGCTAACACATTCATTACTTGATGCACTCACAATTAACACATTCATTACTAACTTCTCCTATATATTACCTACCTCTAGCTCTGTTAGAACAAGATTAGTTTTAATCTATCTTAGAGTTTTGATGATAACAATAAATTATATTTATACTCTGATGAGCGTATTTGACTGTTTCAGATAATATTCTGACAGAAGCATTCTGAAGTGCTAAGCTCAAAATTATATGAAGAAGTTCTTTAATAAAAGAACCTTTTTGTTTTAAGCGCATCTGCTGACTCTGGTAAGACAAATTTATTTAAATATATCTTCTAACATTTAGCAGGATTCCTTGCTCAGAAGATTACTTGAAAGCAAGTGTTGTTTAGAAGTTATTTGAAAGCAAGCGTTGATTAAGTTCTTAGCAAGCAAAGCTCTTCCTAGAAGATGAGTAAAACATGTTTCCTACGCTTGACAAGACAAGTTGTGTCCACTATTGTGTTGTTGCACGTAATGATGAGATTCGTTTTAAATTCTTTAAAAATTCTTTTTTAATTTTATTTCTAAACCTATTTCTGAAACTGTTGCATATAAATACTATTTGAAAAACCCTTTTTCATTCTTTATCGTCTCTTTCAAACTCAAACGTTTCTGTACTTTTTCTCTAAAACCCTTTTCTTCATCTCTCATCTCTAAGAACTTCAATGGCTTCTTATTCTACCCACTATGAGCAATACATAGTGCCTGATAGAACAACTCTCATTCCTGTAGACAGCTTGGAAGTTTTAAGTGAGTTAATGGTAGATTTTGAGAATCTAAGAGAAAATGGTTTTGACTTGTTTCCTGCTGTTAAGTTTCAAGGTTGGGAAAAAAAATTGATCGTCTCATTAGTCCAATGTTTCCACATCTGGTGAAGGAATTCTAGATACATGCTATTGCAACCCCTAAGGTTATCCTCTATTTCGTAATGGGCAAGGAAATATCCATTACTGAAAACCAAATCAGAAAGTTGCTAGGGCTTAAAGGACTTGGAGTTACAGGTATGCCAAGCGGAAGAATGGAAATGTCAAGGGTCTACTTAGAGATTTTCACAAATGGTCAAGGATCTTCAAAAGTCAGGGACTTGAAAGATAAATACAAGATTTGGGCAAAGATTATCCATGGATGTATTCACCATAGGAAGGACACCAGCTCTCCAGATTACATTAACGCTGATCAACAATACTTGTTGTTCTGCCTTAGAACAAATGTAAAAATTGATTTGCCTTATTTGTTGTTTGAACATCTCTGGAACCATGTAAAAGAGACTAAGGAAGTTGAAAGGATGAAAAACCCAAAATCCAAAAGGAATTGGATTCCTATGGGTAGATTAATATCAGACATTCTGACTGAGAATGGTCTGATTGCTCACCTAGATGAAGCCAATCTTCTGGGGGAGCTAGAACCTACTTGTGGTAAGACTATGACTGGGAAGAATTTACTGAAAAGGAAAATTATTGACAAGTTGTTGGTGGAACCAACTCCGTATGTGTAAGCTGTTGTGAAGAGAAGAAGGATACATATTGCTGATTTCCCTTTATTCAACTCAGGAGATCATCCACGTATCATCCTGCACTACATTGAAATCTGCAAAGAGACTGAAACACCTATTGATCCAACTTGGCTCCAAGGAAGAAATCAAGCTGCTCCAGATGTTGTTCTCCAGGAATCTTTGAAGAGGAAAGCAGTTGAAGGACCTTATGCCACACCTCAGAAGAAGAAAAAGAAGACAGGTAAACCTGCTGAAACTATCACTGTTTATGATTCTGTCAATGTATCTACATCTGCTGAACCCTCCCAAACCTTAGGAGATATAGATGTTGATATTGACATGACCTTACCATCTGACTCTCTTGCTGACAACCCTCATAGAAATCAAGT